CTCTCTCTCTCTCTCTCTCTCTCTCTCTCTCTCTCTCTCTCTCCTACCAGGCGATACAAAAATTGAAGCACTGATGAAGGTACTGCATGGGAAGATAATATAAAAAGTGTTCACTCACACAGTGAAGACCTCTGATTGCGAGACGAAGGTGGATGGAAGAGAAATAGAATGAAAAGACGAGCAGGAGAAAGAGGAGGAGGACGAGGATGTAGGAGACAATCTGAAAGTGTTCAGGTTTTACTTACTATTTTCACTATGGTATTTTTAACCACACACACACACACACACACACACACACACACACACACACACACACACACACACACAAACACACACACACACACACACACACACACACACACACACACACACACAAAAACACACACACACACACAAACACACACACACACACACACACTACACACACACACACACACACACACACCACACACACACACACACACACACACAAACACACAAACACATGGTGACAGCAGTAAGACAAGAGAGAGAGGGGTGGGTGGATTGCATATTCTTGGACTGCAAGAAGGCGTTTGACAGAGTTCCACACAAGAGATTGGTGCAAAAACTGGAGGACCAAGCAGGGATAACAGGGAAGGCACTACAATGGATCAGGGAATACTTGTCAGGAAGACAGTAGCGAGTCATGGTACGTGGCGAGGTGTCAGAGTGGGCACCTGTGACCAGCGGGGTCCCACAGGGGTCAGTCCTAGGACCAGTGCTGTTTCTGGTATTTGTGAACGACATGACGGAAGGAATAGACTCTGAGGTGTCCCTGTTTGCAGATGACGTGAAGTTGATGAGAAGAATTCACTCGATCGAAGACCAGGCAGAACTACAAAGGGATCTGGACAGGCTGCAGACCTGGTCCAGCAATTGGCTCCTGGAGTTCAATCCCACCAAGTGCAAAGTCATGCAGATTGGGGAAGGGCAAAGAAGACCACAGACGGAGTACAGTCTAGGGGGCCAGAGACTACAAACATCACTCAAGGAAAAAAATCTTGGGGTGAGTATAACACCAGGCACATCTCCTGAAGCGCACATCAACCAAATAACTGCCGCAGCATATGGGCGCCTGGCAAACCTCAGAACAGCATTCCGACATCTTAATAAGGAATCGTTCAGGACCCTGTACACCGTGTACGTTAGGCCCATATTGGAGTATGCGGCACCAGTTTGGAACCCACACCTAACCAAGCACGTAAAGAAACTAGAGAAAGTGCAAAGGTTTGCAACAAGACTAGTCCCAGAGCTAAGAGGTATGTCCTACGAGGAGAGGTTAAGGAAATCAACCTGACGACACTGGAGGACAGGAGAGATAGGGGGACATGATAACGACATACAAAATACTGAGAGGAATTGACAAGGTGGACAAAGACAGGATGTTCCAGAGATTGGACACAGTAACAAGGGGACACAGTTGGAAGTTGAAGACACAGATGAATCACAGGGATGTTAGGAAGTATTTCTTCAGCCACAGAGTAGTCAGTAAGTGGAATAGTTTGGGAAGCGATGTAGTGGAGGCAGGATCCATACATAGCTTTAAGCAGAGGTATGATAAAGCTCATGGTTCAGAGAGAGTGACCTAGTAGCGATCAGTGAAGAGGCGGGGCCAGGAGCTCGGACTCGACCCCCGCAACCTCAACTAGGTGAGTACAACTAGGTGAGTACACACACACACACATACACACAAACACACACACATAGTACCGAAAAGTAAAACTTTCGATTTTAGCTTAAATAGCAACGCTCTTGTTTCCGAATAGGGCAAGCGAAAGTTTGTGTATGCAGTAATCTCGCAAAAATCATTCTGAACCTAACGAAAGTAATATATTTCATTGTGTTTGTATATTATTAAATTATTGTAAACTTATATAAAATATATTTAGTTGGATTAGGTTAAATTAAACTGCGCTTGTTATAATAAGGTTAGGTAAGTTTCCTAAGGTTTTAGCACAAAATCAATAATTTTAATATTAACATAAATGAAAAATATATATCTTTAAATATATTAGAGAAAATTTTAGAAAGGACTTAATTTTAAATGGGTTCTTGCTAATTGACCAGTTTTACCTATTCAGCCACGATATATATATATATATATATATATTATATATATATATATATATATATATATATATATATATATATATATATATATATATATATATATAATATTTTTCTCCACTTCTCAGTAGAAGAAAGAAATCCACCTGTAAACAAAATTGGAAAATGTTTGATCTGAATACATGGGCGCCCAGATGAAGGGAAATGAGGTGTCATTTGGCAACTCATTTCGTAACAAAAGGCGAACATTTAGATCACAAAGAACGACAACATCACCTATTGTAGAATATCGTTGGTTATCTATCTTTCATGAGCATGAGAGATAGTGATCTTTACATACGTCTGCAGGATCTCGGTCTGAGCTGCCCGCCAGTACCAAATCAAAAATCCTAATCTCTAAAATTCAGATTAAATTGAGCTTCCACTGTATATGCACTCATAAATGCGCACACACTTCTAGGTATGTTTAAGATTCTCAGGCTTCGTCTGTAAAAACCATCCAACCAAGCAAACTGAACACTCGACCAGGCTTCGAAGGGGTTCACAGATCGATAAGAATTTGAACTAACGGCTGTTCATCCCTCCATCTGCCCGACAATTACAGCACCGAGAAGGTCAATGTTCTGTTGACGGTAATATAAAACGTGAAGAAAATTACGCAAATCTACAGTGGCGAGTGATGGAACCAAACTGAAAGGGAATTAAGTCTCTAATACCTAAGTTAGTCTCAAGTACTAACCCTCCTCCTCCTCAAGTAACACAGACGCTCAGTATTCTGTGTCATTGCTGAAAATGGACGACAAGAGATAAGTCTTCTAGTGTTACGGAAGGAAGAAAAAGATGGTTTTATTTGTAATGGGTCTCAAGGCGATATATTCACCGAGAAGTGGTCGTCCCTCAGTGTTTATAAGCTCGGAGTTTAGTTTAATCCTTGTTTTGGGGGATTAAAGTGTTCACGACTGGTGGTGAACTGGTGACGCGCACGTTTAATGACCCTCGTGTAGTTGATAGGCTTTAAACTCCATTACTCAACCAGTGAGTGAGTGAGAGGAAGCTTGGGAAGTGTAAACCTTCAAGGAAGTACCTTGATGCTAAGGAAACATTCTTCACCCAGAGAATTGCTGTTGGTTCTTTTGTTGCTTTTTCTTTGTTTTTTCTTTTTTTTCTTTTTTGTTGTATTTGCTCTTTTTGTCTTTAATTTTTCCTTTTGTGTTTGCTTTTATTTTTGTTGTTACTTTTGTTTTTTGTTTGATTTTGTTGTATGTTGAATTTGTTGTTACATTTTTTAGTTGTACTTGTTGTATTTTCTGTTGTGTTTGCTTTTGTGTTGTGTTTGTTATTGTATCTATTGTTGTATTTGTTGTATTGGTTGTTGCATTTATTTATTGTTGCTTTTACTTTTTTTCTTCCTTTTCGGATTTTTTGCTTTTTCAAATTTTAACTTTCATTTTTTGTTGCCATTTATTTTTCTGTTTTGCTCTGTTGTTGTTTTTGTTTATGTTTTGTTGCTTTTCTTAATAAATGTCTTTGGAAATCTGGGTTTTCCTTGCTTGCTGTTTTCCATCTTGTTCTTCCTTCTTTATCGTCTTGTTTTTTTCTTTTTCGATTTGCTCTCAATTCTTTTTTTACATCATGGTTTTATTAGTTGTTTTTTTGGCCATGTTTTTGTTTGTTGGTTCTTGCCTTGTTCTTGCTGTTTTTCGTTGTGTTAGACCTTTTTTCCCGTCGTGTTTGGTTTTTCTCGTCCTTTTTTTTTCCCTGGTTTATCGTCTATTACCATCGGGTTCAAATCTTCAACTCTGACATTCGGCTATAACAGAAACTTCTCCCCTTGAGATACATGAGGCTGGAGATACAGTATACAGGATACCTTCCTCGTATCGCGTAGCAGCCGAAACATAGTTAATGACAACGTTTCGCCCAGCTTTGACTTGACAGAGCCACTGTATCTAAGTGTCCTTCTCCATAATCCACCTCTGTTGCCCCTGTGACTTCTTTGTGGAAATCCTGATGTCACTGAGTCGGTAAACTAAGATGTTTGTCACCAGTGTATAGGAGTCAGTTTTTAATATGTATGAAGAGCAAATCACTTGAAAATAGGCACGAGATATGCAGAGGCGTTGACCTGTAAAAGCTAAATTTCCTGAGGTAGCTGAGATAACTCTTTCAGAACACACGCTGTTTTCTCGCTCTCTCTCTTTCTCTCTCTCTCTCTCTCTCTCTCTCTCTCTCTCTCTCTCTCTCTCTCTCTCTCTCTCTCTCTCTCTCTCTCTCTCTCTCTCTCTCTCTCTCTCTCTCTCTCTCTCTCTCTCTCTAAACCATTATATCATAGCTGGAACATTATATTATTATTAACCTCAGGACGGACTGAAACGTCATAATTTTCTTCATCAAACTGGGTGCAAATACTGTCATTCTCATTACTATCACAGTATCTCACCCAAGCAAGCCTGACCTGACCTACACTAACTCTCTGATGCCAGTTTTCTCCTCACAAATACAGTTTCGATTTTTCATGTATTTAAAATTTCAGAATTTTCTCCAAATGAGATGTAACTGCAAAATCCACTCAAAAAAAATTTTCTAACTCGAAAAATCTTTCAGTTCTGTTTCAAAGCAAAAAATCCCTCATTTAGTCTCTACTATCAAATACGACAAACGGGGGTTCCAATATCTAATAATCAAGTTAAAATCTGCAACTACTAACACCTTAATTAAATCTCTGACACATAATAGCTAAGCTGCAATCCCAAACACATAGTACACATAGATTCAATCTCAAACAGTTAATTCCTAAGTAACAGCCTCCAACACCTAATACCTAAGTTAGTCTCAAGTACTAACCCTCCTCCTACCTTCCCAGTATGTCCCAAACTCCAATCGGAAACATTGCCAAAAGAAGAGGAACTCACCTGCGAGGAGACAGAGAAGAGAAGCAGCCATCAGCCACAGCTGGCACCACGGGCACTCTCCAAGTTTTCGGACATCCATCATGAACAGCCAGGAGGATAGGAAGGCAAGTCAGGATAGGCAGAAGGAAGGAGGAAGGGAAAATGGGAGAGGGAAGGCTGGTGCGTCTCAATGAGTATGAAATGTGGAAGAAACAACCTTTCTATATCTTAGCTCTGAAGCGTTACTCCTGTTTCAGTAGTAGTTTAGGCACTAACATCTTACAGTATGTGCTACTTGCCCTGGCTGAGTGGTAATACTCCCGGCTCGCACCGGCAAGTTCGGGGATTCAATCCGCGAACGGAGGAAATATAAATATTTTTATGACTTGCATATGCCACCCCTCACCAAATAGCAGCAAGTGGGTAAAGATGAAAGCAAGATGTAAATAAAGGAAGGTGGAGGGGGCTGGGTGGAAGAGACTTTAAATGATAGATGAAGCAGATGTGAGTGGTAGCTATACTCTGGCAAATAAACGGGGGAGAGATGAATTAAGAGTGAGAAAGGCAAGGAGGAGATAAATAAAAAAAAAAACAGGAGAACAAACACGTGCAGGAAGGGAGGAAAGTGAGAAAGCGTCAGATGAAGCTTGAAGAAAGGTGATTAAGTCTGGCTGCAGATGTCTGAAGTGAGGAGAACAAAGTGTGGAAACAGTGTGTGTTCACAAAGTGTGTACACAAGAATAACACACACTGAAAAAAAATAGAACAAAGGAACAGGGTAAACGAAAGTCAGACGTAAAGAAAATAGACAATAAACATGCGTGAAGCACTTTGCACAACAATTAAGTCTCTCTTGTAGCAGAGACTTTAAGGAAAATAGGATCCTGATCCTTCAGAAACGTCTTGCAGAAATATAGTGAAGTCGACACTATGACAGAAAAACATAGGCAGTGAAATTTCTTTAGAAACTTGAAGCAACGATCACAATAAAGATAAATACAGCAAGACTAAATACAGAGATAGAGAACATGTAAATCGCTTATACAAGTGAATGAGAAAAGCAGAGGCATGTAGGATGCGTGTTGTGAGGTTAAGGGTAGTGTCAGGGGAGGATTTACGAGCGAGAGTAGAGTTAGTGAGGCGGGGAAGGGAGGAGTAGGTAGTGGTAGTAGAGGTGGTAGCGAGGGGAAGCTGCTGACTGATGGAACATTGTTGTCACTGTGGTGCTGGTTGCAGGCTCTTCTACCACGTCCTGCAGTGGTGGTGGCAACTGGCTCACCCACCACGTACTGTCACGGTGGTGGTGGTAGCTGGCTCTCCCACTACGTCCTGCAGTGGTGGTGGCAGCTGGTTTACCCACCACGTACTGTCACTGGTGATAACAGCTGATTATTCCACCACATCTGGAGGGATGCCCAAAAATTCTTTAGCCACTATTTATCCTTTTCCAAATGTAATACTTTTTTGGCCTTTGTTTTTTTATGTTAGTGTTATGCTCTCACTGTCAGACTCTCATAGTGTTGTGTGTTGCAGTGTTACAAGTCTACTCTCTATATATCTACTTTTTACCGGTGAGGCTTCACTGTTTTTCCACTCTTCGTCTGCCATTAATATATCACTTTTTAATTTGCACTTTTATCCAGTAATAAATTTTCCTTAATGTTTCACTGTTTCCCTGACAATGATTGTACGAAGGTTAACATCTCGCTGTTCCCCGGGACCAGATGCTGCTCCTGCCGTCGTTGTTCCTCAGGAGCTGCTACTGTTGCCACAACTGTTCCTCAGAGGTTGTTGGTGTTGCCACTGCTTTATCTCGGCGCCTGTTGCTGTCATCGTTGTTCCTCGAGGCCTGTTGCTGCAGCTGTCACTATTGTTCCTTGGAACTTGTCATGGCTGCTGCTGTTGCTACCACTGGTGTTCCTCGGGGACCTCTGCTGCTACAATTATGTAATTCCAGTTTGATTCGCAATAGTAAAGATATTCTAAGTACTGACCATCCTTCCACCCAAAACCATTAATTTAATGGAGTGTTCTCTGCCACTCGCCATTATTATTAACTCAACGGGTATATTTCTATTTAATATTACTTAATACTTGCTAAGGTCATCTTTAGCAGCGAAATGACTTTTTATTTGGCCTTTTCGAAAAAGCGTTTGGCCGTTTCTAGAGAGGCAAACCTATGTCGTCTCCGGTACCATGGAGGGCTGAGCACTCTTCAATCACAACAGTTACGCTTCCCTTCTATTATTTTCCCATTCCTATTTTTTCCCCTGAAATAAAAAAAAACTCAGATCCTCTACTGCAGTTTTAGCCCTTGCACATTAAACTGCTCTCTCTCTCTCTCTCTATTTCTCTCTCTCTCTCTCTCTTCTATCTCTTCTCTTTATCTCTCCTCTCTCTCCC